AGCCATTTGGGCGTGGCCCCGGTGGCCGTTGGGGCGCGGCCATTGGGGTGCTGCCCTGGGGGCCCGGCCCCGGTGGCCGTTGGGGCGTGCGGGCGGCCACGGGCGTTGGGCTGTGAGGCAGCGCTGTGGCGGTCTGCGCGTTTCTCAGGCAACCCCGTGTAGACGCGTTTCCCGCGGCTCCCTTTTCCTAGAATGTAGCCTGTACATAGCTTTTGGAATAACCACCACCTTTTTTTTTATAAGGGGAAAGTCTCTTCGGAGCTCTGTTCGTACGGGCGCTGCCGCGGCCGATACCAGCTCTTTGTGTAACTTCTTGTACGAGGAGGGAGACAGTTATTTTACTAGCACCTTGTGGAGTGTTTCCGTGTTTTGTGACGATGTAATTTATTAATGTTTGTAGCTTTTTATATTTGTACATTTCTTATGGGCTTTGTTTATATACACACATTACCGGGGCGCGGCGCCTGCGGGGAACCAGAGCCACCCGCAGCCGCGGCCGGGACGGGCAAGGGCCGCGAGGGCCGCACCGGCCTGGGCGTCGCGCTGGCTTTTTTTATTATGATTATTATTATTAGTATTATTATTTTTTCGCGACATGTACATTTCTAACAAAGTTTATCGTGGCTATCTATCTATGACGGTGTTTTATTTACCGATTCATATCAAATGCTCTTGTATCGAGTTCACAAAAATCTAAGTACGCCTAGAGCAAAGTTTAAAAAAAAAAAGAAAAAAAAAAAGAAAGCAAAGTAAACTATTTCAGGTTTTGTATACAACCGCTTGGGCCTGGTGTTTTTGTTGGGCTGGGATGGGCAGGGTGCGGGTGGGAGCCAAAGTGCCCTGTGCCCCCCTGGGTGTCCTGTTTGGGCAGGAGGAGCAGAGGAGATGGGGGCTCTTCCCTAGGCGTGCTGCAGGGTGCTGAGGCAGCCCTCCATCCAGGACACCCCCCCCCCCTGCCACTTCTCTCTGCTTGCCATAATCGCAAAAGAAGCTCTGGCTTTTCTGACATGGCCTTGGCTTCCCTGCCTTACTACGCACTCTAGGAAGGCTGGTCCGAAGTTCGTATATGGGTCATGTACCCACTCCTCACACACATGTGTCTGCCCAGGAGCGCTCTCGTCCCTCACCCTCCGGAGGACAAGCATGCACATGTGTTTCCCGCACTTCTTCCCTGCTCCTTGGAGGCCCTGGAATGCTGCAGGCTTCCCCTTTGCACTCACTGAAACTTCACCTAAGTCACCAGCTCTTTTGTGCTATTTCTCCACATTGACCCTCTTATCCTTGAGATGTTTCCAGACATTTCTTCATTTTCACAAGAGAAACTGAGCAGGAAACCCACAGATCTGTGTAGCTGCTGCCTCTCCCGCAGTCCTCTTTCCTAGCACAAGGGTGTTCACATCTCCTACATCTAGGCTGCTATGTAATAGCAATATTGTGTGGGCACCAACAAGCAGAGACAGTTGACCTAGCTTGCACACGAGTAACAAAAACAGTGAGGCTTGTCTGTTACTGCTTTTGACAGCCCTGACAGGCTCAGGTTTAGCACTGCAGAGTCCTCTACCTCGAAGTAATCAAGATGCCCCCATCATGTTGTATGTGCATCTACTACTGAAGTAATAGATGGTGACGATCAGGTGCCATAGCAGGAACCATTTCACTGACCACTATCTCTTCAAATGGGTGCCTTTTCATTAAGCTTTATCAAATGTAATTCCTTAAGAAGGAGGACAGCAGGCCAGACCTACTGCTGAACGTTTGTCCTGGGGAGGTTTCACCTCTGAAATACACTTCATGTCTGTCCCAGACCACAGTGACACACAACAGGGAAAAGTAAAGGCCATGCATGTACAGGAGTGGTGATTACCTGATACTGCCTGCAGTTGAAGACATTGCAGAATCGTCCCTTTTTAGATGTGTCTCTTTTCAAACCAGGCAACCAGCGATGACAAACAAGGTGTGGACGAAGACAGCATTTCCTGACAAGGCTCTGAGACCTCTCTTGTATTGAGTGATCTGAAGGAAGGGTGATAAATTTGTTCCAGCCGATGAGCATAACTTGTGGCTGGGTGCCAGGAAGTCCACTTACCTGGCTTGTCTAGTAGGATGTAACAGAAGACAATGTAAAAAGCCCTATTAAAATGGAGGTTAAACAGCATTTGCTGTCTGTGACCTGAAATGTGTGACATAGGCCAAGTTTTGTGCCTATGTTCTCAGAAATCCCTTCAAGGGAGAACATGGCTGGAGATGCAACTCTGCTTGGGGCTGCGGGAGTGAGGGGGGGGGCTCAGCTTTTCCTGTGCTCTCCTCCAAATGCCACACAGTGCTTGGACATCATGAAACAAGACAAACCCCATTAAGACAAGACACCTGCTGCTTGTTCTCCCTTCACAAAGGACAGACAGGACAGAACTAATGCACTGCTCCCTTTGGTGGGCTCCATTAGCACAGCCTCCTGCAGATGTGAGCTTTCCCCTTGACCTCGCGATTTGGGCTGACTGAGTGCCCTGATGGGTTTTTTGGGGATGTCCATCTTGTAATATGTCCTCATGGTAATAGCAGCTGTTCGCCAGCTGGGGGCGTTCACAGTTCAGAAACAGTCACAAAACCTACAAAATGGGACCTGTTGTAATAAAACGCCTAGCACTGTTCACGTTTGGTGGCACATCGCAGCCTCTGTTTATGTGCTGTATTGCAGTGCCATTGAGGATGCCCTGTGACCTGCCACGCTCTGATCCATTCCTGCAGAGAAAACGTGCAGAAATGAGCAATGACGGCGCCTACTGCTCAGCCCAATGGAGACCATGCACTGGCCTGCGCATACTGCAGTCCAGGTCTGCACATCTCCTCCAGGACCAAAGCACACCAGTTACCATTCCAGTCTCCCGTGTCACAAATGCAGGCCTGGTACTGGCAGTGAAGTGCAAGACATCGCTGCCCACGTCCCGAGCTCTGGCTCGGAGGAGCCTTGCTTTCACTTTGGCTACTATTAGAAAGCATGAGCAGGAAAGCCCGAACACTTTTCACCAAGAGCTTAAATGAGCATCATTTACAAGCACAGTGGTTTTTCCAGTGGGGAAGTACATAGCTAGTCAAAGGCAGCAAAGGTTAGATATACTCCTGCCTCCGGCTCGGCCTCCTAGTCTGGTGTGATGGGCACACCTACAAACGGCAGCCATATGGGCAGATGTCATGTTGGACAAAGTACTTACACATTATGCACAACGTGACTATCAATCAGAAGTGAACATCTGAACAATAGCTTTACACTTTCCAAAGCATTTCTTACCCTTCCTTGTCCATAGCCAGTAGAAAGGCTTGAGCACTGAAAATATCCTTGCTGCTTCTCAGGTAATTCCATGAATGGACTGCCTTGCTGGGATACGAGGGACTTCTTCTTGCCATCTTGACCTGGTTTAATCTGCTTTTTGAGTCATCTGTCTAAAAGAGAAGCACATAAAGACTCGTTACAAAGCATTACTCATCTCTTCTCTTTCCAGTGGATGATTCCTTCATTGGCCAATCATTTCAAATCTGTTGCCTATTTCTTTAATCAATCATTATCATTTCCTGTGCCTGCACAATCCCTTCCCTTCATCTAATGACCTCAGATAGTCATTTTCCTGCAGCTGAAATCTTACACACCAACTGATGTGTCACCTGGCAGTCACCACGACTGTCTTGATAAAGGTGTCCTAGAGGCTTTGTATGTGCTGCTGTTCCTGCACTTGGACAGGCTCCAGTGGCGGCGGCGGGGGGGGGCCTGCGTTCAACATGTTCAACATGTTCTCCTACATAGACGAATGCAATAGGAGCGCTGCAGCACGCACTGCAAAGGAGGGCCAGCCCACGGCTCCCTCTGGTTGGCATGATGCTTGTCCCTCCAGACAGCAGCCTGACGCTGACGATGGAGCCAAAGGGCACCTGGCAGAGGGCCCATCGCTCTCCCACGACTCAGGACTCTGTGGCGGGTCTTTGGGAAAGCACAAGTAGACGCTCTTTGGGTGCCATTGAGCCAGATCACATGTTTTTATCCTTACATTTCATTCCTGTCCAAAATACAGCCTGTGAAACTGCTGCCTGCACGTGGTACCTCCAGCATCCTGTCCCATTTCCAATGCCTTTCTCATGATGCTTGGCAACTGCTGCCGCAAACCTACGCTCCAAGACCAAATGTGTAGAGCTCCTGCTCCCTTCCATCATGTCACCTCTACAGACAGTAAGAGTATTCATGTTTTCAGTTCACTGCACACATTGTAGGTCACAGTGTACTCCTGTGAGCCCCCATTTATGCTTATGGGGAAAGGCGCCTGTGGCCAATGCCCACCACCCCTCTCCATAGGCAAATGCTTTTCTTGCTGTGTGACTACTGAGACCATGGTTGAGGCCAGTGACTCAATTGGCTTCACACCTCTAACAAACACCCTAGCACAGGCTCACTACCTTTAATGGCTGCTGTTCATTGGTGCTTTCGCAGACTCCTGCAAAATACTGTCTATATATATGTGTATATATATATATATTTTTTTTTCCCCTTTTCTGTTTTGCCCATGTGTGGCACTGCCTGCAGGAAGGACAGTAAGTGAACTTCACTTTTATAGTGA